TATATATACATATATATACATATATATACATATATATACATATATATACATATATATACATATATATACATATAATATACATATATATATGGGATGGTCTCATCACGGTGTTTTTCGACTTTTGCAAAGCGTATAATAATTGGCCAACGCACGGGCTGCTCGTGTGAAGATGCGTTTTTGCATAGCGCCTCGCAGATTTTTGTCGCTAACGGCACTAATTTTTCCGGCAGATGCTTCTAGCTAAAAGAATTTCAGACTGGCCGCTAGAACTGTCAGGAAACATCCCTTCACAATTCCAGTCCTCTAGCTCCTCACGTTCTCGAGTTAGCAACTTGCCCGGAAGAAACTTTCACGGGCCCGTATGTAGGTACCACGCTTACCCGCGGACAGGGTTTGAACTCTTTAATACCCACTTGGAGAGGGAACATCCTCCTAAAATTTCAGCGTTCTAGCTTCTCAGATCCCCGAGTTATGAACTCACCCCAAAAATTTTGGCGGGCCCGTACGCGGGCACCACGCGGATGATGGCGCTCATTTTGGGGATTGGGGCCGGCATTTGCATGTAGATTAAGTTCCCGAAACTTCAGCCCTGCAGCTTTTATAGATCTTGAGATGAAAATGCGTGACAGACGCACACACAGACAACCTCTCGTCAATATGCGTTTTTGCACAGCAGAGCTGCAAAAAACGCATAAAAATTGAAGCCCGCTCAGTTCTAAATGCTGCAGCCATAAAAGTGCGGTGCCCGCTAACAAAACTCTTCATTCTAGTTAGAAAATAAGCATGGAAGGAAGAGAAACGGAATCTATCAAGTTCAATTTGTAGAAAGCTGAACTCTTCAATAAAGGCATGATCAGTGCACAGATTCGTTTTTCCGCCCTATTTGCACAAATTTGTTTCTTTCCGAAACAGATTCTGTCCAGGTGTGCCTACGGGTTCGTCCTTGCTCAGCCGGTAAAAAAGCCAGGAGTAACGGACTTGTGGCTGTTCTGAAAAAAAGATGAAGTTACAAATTTTTTGTGTAAACAGCCCAGCGCCTCTTTTTGGCCTTTTTTGCTTCATCGATTCAAATACCGAAAAAGAGCTTCATTGCAGTGGTGTTATTGAAAACTTTCAGCAAAAAAAAAAAAAATGGTCTAAACTAACATTGCAAAAAAACAAGAAAAATGACTTTGTGGCAGTGCTCTAAAATTGAGCTGACTAAATAACTGCTAGTACAAATTAGTAGCGTTACAACTGCAATATGGAGCGATAACATCAATCACAGAAAAAAAAACAAAAGCGGTAGTTGCAGCCACTGCAGAAATTGTAATGAATAGAAACATTAGCAAAACAGCTGCTTCTGCTGCTGCTTCCTGAGTTGTTGTACAGATCTTTGAAATTCTCAAAACGCGACACCATTCCATTCAACAATCTTCCATTCTGCGTTTGCCAAAAGTGAAGAATTTTTTGATGCTTATCCTAACCAGTCAGCTAAAAATTCAAATTTTTAGACCGTTTCATAAGTCTTCGTAGTGAATTTTGAAAGGATTTGCAGGTTACCAGATGTTTTTTGAAAGCCCAGAATGCTCTCTTAAATTAATGTTAGAGACAAGCAAAATTTTCTGAACTTCCTTCGTAAGGACTTTGTAAATTTCAGTGTCTTGGGCGAAATTAAGAAACTTGCAGTCGGGCGAAATGCGCAAAATCCCACTGGAAAAGTCATTAATCATCAAAACAAGCTGTTGCAACTGCGTAGCTATTTTGGGAATTTAGAAAAAGCTGTTTCTCTTTTAGAAAAAAATAAGCGCAGCAAAAAGGCCATCCATTTGCAAGAATTATATCTTCAACTTCTTTTGGTTTTTTCCCTCTTTGGTAAGCCACATCTAAACATAATTTTTCACATTAGCAAAAGATTCGGCGCTCACGTATTTAAAAAATAAAGAGAAATTAGGCATCCAAAGTACCAGCACCATGTTCTGCATCCCAAAACTGTGCTGACGAACGATCCACATTGTTGAAATCCTGCAAAAGCTTTGATTACACGTATTTGTGTCAGGATGAATGTCAAAAATAGTTTTGTCTTAAACAGGTAAGTGCTCGTGTATTAGCAAAGAACTCAAATCCAGAACATCAAATGCTTTCCTGAACAGCTTCAGGAAAAAAAAATTAGCTACTACATAAATGCATGACTTTTGGTAAATATACACCTGGTATCGCTGGCATGTCTATAATTCTGCAGACAAAGAAAAATTCTATGATTTCTTTACATATGTATTACTATTAGTGTGTGTTTGTTCAGATTAACAAATCTCAGAACTATGGAAGCTAATGAGTTGGAAACTTTTGAGCTCAGCTTTTATGCGTTCTTGTGTATTTACACAAATGCAAAAATGCATTTATGACAGCTCATAATGTGTGTTTATATGTGTAGGTCTGAATGTTTCTGTGTGTGCGTACGTGTGTGCGCTTATCCGTGTATTTCAGCTCAGCAGCCAGGCAACGAAGTGCGGGGAGCAAGGGGAGGTAGGGGAAGAAGGAAATTGTTAACTCGGAAACCTGATAAGTTAGGAAATTGAAATTTTAGCACGTTCTCTGCCCATATGACCTAAGAAGTTTAAATTCAGATCCTAAATACGCTTGGTTCTCACATGGGAAAATTGCTAACTCAGGAATGAGGCAAGCTAAAATTCTGGAAAAGAGGTTGTCGGCAATTTGTGCTTTCAGGCTCGCCATTTCCGTAAACGAGATTTAAGCGTTTGTGGAAGCTGATTTACACTTTTTGCGATGCATAAGATACGCTAGTATTCTCGTAAAATTTTCGCTTCTCTGACTGTCTGACCAGCGCGAAAGAACGATGACGAAAGTGTTGCAACAAGGGTCGCCACTCATATATGATTGCTATTTGCAGAGTGAAAAGACCTTCAAAAAGGAACTGTGCCTTTTTGACGCAAGCTCCGATTGCAAAAACAGTAAAAAGAACTGACATCTTATAAAGCACGCTTTATAAGAGCGCTTTATAAGTGTGTGCACTCAGTCAGCGCGTAAAAGCGCCAAGCTTATAAGGCACGTATGCCAATTCTTGACTGAAGTATATGGTCATCTAGAGGAGCAAAGTAACTGAAAACCATCGCGGCAGTAACTTCACAGAAGGCTGCATCAAGTCGACATAACATTACACAAACAGCCGAATTTTTATCGAAATTCTGCAGAAATCCCATTAGTCCAGTACTCGTTTTAAGGGGTTGAATCACTGAATCTTTTTTTCTTTTTAGTAAGTTGCAGACTTAAATCACATGTGTTTCTTGAAAGGGGAATCGATTGACAGCGCTTTTCTGCAACAATTTCTTGCAAGCAAATTTTCGTTTTGGGTTAAAAAATCAAACGTGTAAAATTGTTACTTGCCTGCCAAAGGGCAAGGACCAGCTCGCTGCTCATTAATTCGCCCGCATGTGTTGAGATCATCCGGAGCATAAAAACACCATCTTTACGCAAAAATTGGTTCGTAAACTTTCGAAGCGACACATCATCCGCTACCGGCTTTGTCGGATGATCGCTTAAAACTCGCAAATATTTTCGAATGAAAGACATTCCCTAAAAGTAGGTGATTTTGCCAACTTTGCAGGAAAGTGATGCTCAAAGAGCAAATATATCATTGCAGTATCGACAGCAGCATGTACAAATTCTTTGATCTATCAAGAGGCGTTATCCGCATCGACTAATATTCTACTGCCGAGAAAAAAAAAGGGAACTTTTCCTCACGGAAGGAGAGAAAAAGTATGGTTGAATGTTGGTTACTGCTGCCGAAACTGCACCAGCGACAGATAACAGGCAGTTGATCAGTAGTTAGGATACGGTGTGCAGTACAAGCTTGACTGGAATATATTTTTTTTATTTGCTCTGTTCTCACTGGGCCCCAGTTTTTTGACCCTATTCTTTTTGAACACATCAGATTTTTTCACCAGCGCTGGAGAAATGGTTTCACCAAAACTGTCAGTTTCAGTTCCTTCTGATTATTTCTGGATGCCTGCAAAATTGCAAGCAATGCTAACACTTTTTATCGACTAAAATTAATAATAATTTGACGATTTAAGTGCCAGTAATGCAGTTAAATCTTTGTAGAAATGAAAATTTGGCAAACGCCCAAGAAAAATTAATAGTTGGCGAAAGAGAACAAGACAAGCGCTTTGTTGCCCCTCTCATTATACGTATACTATTTTATAACCTCTTGCAAATAAAGTGCCCAAATAAACACGAATGTGCTTTTGTAGATAAACGGCGCGTAATTTTTATAGAAAAATCTTGCGATGTTACATCTACGCGTAGTGTCGTTTAATTTCGTCACTGTAAAAAAAATTGTTAACATGGTGACAACAAAGAAAAAATTTCTAATCATACGAACGTTGCAGTCGGCCAAGATCCTAGCTTATTCTTGAGTTTTTACAAAGTGTAATCTGAAGAAGGCTTATACCTGGCTTGGAATAAACATAATTAACATCCAGTAACAGGTATTGAAAACTGTTATTAGGCCAACAGTTAAAAACCAAAACCACAAAAAGAGGAATATTTTTTCATTAAACATATTAATCATCAGTACACACTGCACAGTATGCCGATGAATGTTGCCGAGCACTCGTACCTGCAAAAACACAATTTTCGCATAGAACCGATTTCTGAAATGAAACTGATCTTCAGTAGCAATAGAAGGCAGAAAATTATGGCTAACCTTGCTCACTGCTTTTCGGTTGAAAATGAAGGTGAGATCTAGAAATTTCAGCGGTAAGCCCAGACGGTTACGCTATTCATCAGTTGTTAAATTCCGCTTGAACTCATTTTTTCTCTAGCACAGACAAAGACGTCATCTACTGTTCAATCGACAACTCCAAACACACTAGCGTAACGGCTACTTCTTTACTAACTTTCCGATAGGCGTTTTTTCAATGACATATAAGATTCAAGACTATAAACCTTATAATAATTGGCCAACGCACGGGCAGCCCGTGCGAAGATGCGTTTTTTGCATAGTTCCCCGCAGTTTTTGTTGCTACCGGCATCGGCTTTT